TGTCTTCTTAACCTGTCTCTCTCCAGAAAGTACATGTGCCCTATGGCAAAAACATACATACATACATACATACATACATACATACATACATTCTGGCCCCAAACTAACTTTCTAGGCAACCTTTCATTGCTCCCTTAAATGAATCTTTGACTTCATATAAATTTTTTTTAAGTATTTTTAAAAGAATTATTTTATTTTATCTTTCTTTTATTTTATTTTATTTTGACCACAGTGGAACAGAGTGAGAGAGAGGGAAAGTGAGAAAGCAGGCGCCAGGTCCGGGACTCAAACCACAGTTGGCATGTGGGAGTGCCTTTAACCACCATGCCACCTGCCGGCCCCCACAGAATCTTTTACTTGATATCCCAACACAAACCTATCATCCATCTTACCAATGCCTCCATTTCTGTACTGTTAAACTGACAAGTATTGCCCTGTTATTTAAATATTTTATTAACTTACATTTCACATATTCACAACCTATTCTCCCACAACAAATGTAAGGACTCCAGATTTGTACTGTCCAATACTATAGCCACTGGCCACATGTGATCATTAAAATTAAAATTGGCAGGGACCAGCAGATGGCTTAATGGTTACATCGCTAGACTCCCACGTAGTTGACTGCGGCTCAAGTCCCAGACCTGGCAGCTTAAAACTCACGTTGGGCCCAAATGGGGCTGGCAAGTGGTGTGGTGGTTAAAGGCGCTGGACTCCAACATGGCCGACCACGGTTCAAGTCTTGGACCTGGTGGCTTGCTTTCTCACTTCCTCTCTCTCTCTCTCTCTCTGATCAAACTGAAGAATAATAATGATATTAATAATAAAAAGTTAAATAAAATAATTCTTTAAAAAAAAAAAAAACTCATGTTGGGCCCAAAATCACAAGAGGAGAATGGAGAAGGGACTGCGGCATGGCTATTACCCTTGGGGGATTATTTTTAGCTCTCTATCTTTCCGTTTCTCCAGCAAGCGCACATACCCTATAGCAAAAAACTCTCAAAAAAATAAAATAAAATAAAATAAAAATCGGCCCAGTCTCTGTAGTGCAGCCAGTAGTATACCTGGCTGCAGAGCTGGATGCCACATGCCAAATGAAGTTCAAGTCCCCAATCCTGTTGGCCTGAAAAACATACCAGGGGTGTACACACATGCCCAAGACCCTGGCAGGCAGAAGTAAGGGGGAAATAATATGAATGAGCCCTGTGGAAGGTGCTTCTCTTTCTTCTTTCATGCACTATCATGAATACAAATAAAATTAAAATGCATGGACTGGAGCCAGCAGGTGACACAGTGGTTAAGGCAGGGGACTCCCACATGGCTGACCATAGTGTGAGGCCCAGAATCATGCTGGGCATGTGTGAATATGTGTGTATCCAAAATCCCAAGAGAAGGAAGACAAGGCACCATAGTATGGCCATCCCACCAGGAAGGGATTTCTCACTTTCCTTTCCTCCTCCTCCCCCTTCTTCTTCTTCTCTTTCTCCCTCTCTCTCTCTCTCTCTCTCTCTCTCTCTCTCTCTGGTGAGCACATGCACCCTACAGCGAAACTTAAAAAAGAAAAAAAAAAAAAAAGGCATGAACTGGTCATGGTAGAAATGCTCTGCAAAGTTGAGGTCATATGGGAGGTCCCAGGTTTACGCCCCTAGGCCCCCTGAGCATGACAGGTGCACACCTATGTGTCCATGATTCTGGCTGCCTCAGGCTGAGGGTGGACTGTGGCATGAGGTCCTTGCTATAGGTGCCTATTTCCCTCTATGTCTCCCTCTCTCAAGGAAGAAATAAATAAACTTTTAAAAAATGTACAGTACAGACTAGCAGGTGGCAAGGTGGTTAAGGTGCTGGACCGCCACAAGGCTGACTGCGTGCAGTTCATATCTCAGATCTGGCAGCTTGCTTCCTCACTTTCCTTTTCTCTCTTGTTGGTGAGTATACATGGCCTATAGCAAATTAAACAATAATAATAATAAATTAAATAAAGAATTCTTTTTTAAAAAACGTGCTGGACTGGCACCACTGCCTAGTGGCTAAGGAGGCCAGATCCCATATGACCGACCACAGTTCAAGTCTGGGCCTGGCAGTGTAAGAAGCACACCTGGCACATGTGTGCATGCCCTACATTTGGACAGGAGAGAGATAAACGAGGTCATGCAGTATGATCATGCCTCAGTAAGGAGTACTTTCTCGCTTTTCCTCTCTGTCTCTCTCTCTCTAGTGAACACATGTGCCCTCCAGCAAAGCAAAAAATAATAATAATAGAAGAAGAAGGAAAGAAATAAAAACACTGTATGGTGTGAATTCTATCTTAATTAAAATTTTTAATCTAAAATTCAGTTTTTCTGAGGCCAGCAGGTGGCATCATGGTTAAGGCAATGGACACCCACATGGCCAACCACGGTGTGAGTATCAGATCTATTGGCTTACATTCTCACTCTCTCTGTTTCTCTCCGGTGAACACATATGCCCTATAGCAAATTTAAAAATAATAATACAATGAAGTATTGGATCATTGGAAAAGTCATGACATGTTTTTCTATGCAAAATTGCATCAGAATCTTTCCAACAAACCAATCATTATTTTTGAATAAATAAAATTCAGTTTCTCAGGGCTGATCCCATACCACAGTGGTTAAGTGCAGTCCATCATGTGTCATATTCCACATAACCAATTGTGGTTTCAATTCTGGCCCCAGCAGCTTGAAAAACAGATCAGGTATGTGTAGGTACCGGCACCAAAGTCGATGGAACTGAGAAAAGGGGATGAGATTGCAACATGACCATGTCCCACACAGTACAAACAAAATAGATACCATCTCTGTCCTCATAAAGCTTAATCAACTGTGGAGACAGGAGCAAATAAACTAGCAGTAGCTACAAATGCAAAGATAGAGAAATAACAGTCTAACCATGTGAGATTTAAAATAGAACCTAATTTCCCTTCTAAAATCGGCGACTGTTTCAGATCTTCCTATTTCTGATGTGGCACAGATTCCTAGTCTCAAAATTTAGGACTCATTTGTTTCCTCAGTAACAAGTCTGTCACTGAGCCCTAGTGTTATTTTCTTTCTTTCATATTTGTTTTGTTTTCGCCATAGGGAACATATGCTCACAGGAGAGAGACAAAGAGAGGGAAAGTAAGAAATCACCCCCAATAGGGGATGGCCACGCCACAATCCCTTCCCCTCCATTCTCCTCGTGACATTTTGGGCATGCACATATACACACCCAGTGTGATTTTTAAAGCTACGAGTCCAAGACTGGAACCTGATCAGTCATTTGGGAGTCCAGTGCCTTAACCATCATGCCACCTGCTGGCCCCTCAAGTCATACTCTTGCTACTGTCTTTTTCTAT